TTTTTTGAATTGAAAACATTCATATGGAAAAGTTCACTGGTTTTAAGTATACAGCTTGATTGCTCATTTAATTTTGACCTTTGACAGGTGACCTTGTAATAGTTCTCTTCTATTCTAGTTTCATTTCTTGGAAAACTCATTTGGCCATAATCCAGGAAAAGAGATTTGACATTGGACTACCTAATTTTAATTTATATTCATATTTATCCATTAGTAATAATTGTGATGGAATTAATGTGAGCTTTGGGGGTCAATTTAAATGAAATGTTTGAAAGTATTAACTACTCCCTGGAAAGCAAAAGGAATTATTCCTATGTTATAATTCTGGCAGTATAGGCACTATTCCTAATATTGTCAGACTCCCTTAGTGGTAGATGAAGATAGAAAAGACTTGAAACAATGAAGAATTGGGATGGCTGGTGACTGTTTGGACCAAATATAAGACTGAAAGCTAGAAGAGAGGGCATCAGAAACCTTGGAAAATCTGAGGATCTATTCGTAGTAGAAATATGGTTTATATCTTGTTGATGAATTCCAAGAGGAGATCTTTCTGCAAAGAATTACTTGCCTCAAATACAAGGTAGAGCAATAGTAGGTTTACAGTTATATATAGGCAAAGCACAGTTTATTCTTGTATTATTATTTATTGTATTATTCGTGCACCGGTGGGGTCCCTCTGCCTGACCTGTGGGGATCGGGCTGAAATCGACTCTTTGATATCCCCTGAAGGGTCTCGGATTGCAAGAGGGTGGTTCTGGGGTGACACACCAGAACCGGGGCAGCTCGACAGCTCCCGCATTGAGCGTCTGCCCCCTGGTGGTCAATGCGCATCATAGCTACTGGTCGTGGCATCTGCCCTCTGGTGGTCATTACATGTCATAGCTATTGGTCAGATGGTCGAATGGTTGCTTAGGCTTTTATATATAGACTAGAGGCCTGTTGCATGAAGAGATTCGTGCAATAGGCCTTCCTTCCCCTGGCTGCCGGCAGTGATTTTCCTCCGGCACCCGGAACCCAGGCCTTCGCTCCGGGTGCAGTGGAGAAGCCAAGCCTGGAGGCTTCTCCGCTCCGACCGCAGCAGAGAAGGCAAGCCTCTTCAGTCTTCAGTCATCTTCAGTCTTCATTCAGGTGGAGCCTTCAGTCTTCGCTCCACGCCTGCATATGCAAATTAACCGCCATCTTTGTTGGGTTAATTTTCATACTCATTCTGATTGGCTGGTGGGCGTAGCAGAGCGATACCAATTTGCATGTTTCTCTTTTATTAGCGTAGATAATTGCGTTATTCATATGAACAAATGTAAACCTACTTTTGATCTACCTTGTATGTGTCAGAACTAAGTAAATATTCTGGTGGAGACTCAGAAGCATGAAGAGTTTCGTCTCTGAAGTTATTTCCAGCAACTTGCATGTCCTTGCCAATGAATCTATTTTGATTTGAAGTTTAGAAAATAATTCACTTTGATGTACTAAATCTTTATTGGTCTCTTTGTGGGAAGAATACTGTATTTAGGAGGTAGGGTTTTCTCAGGCTCAGCTTTCTGTAGTAGAGGTGATTTGAAGACTGTGCTGTAAGACATAGGTAGGCCTTTCTAAGGATCACTGTCTTTGCTTCAGTTGCAGCAATACCAGTACTACAGCGCAGGCCTGCTCTCCACATATGACCCTTTCTATGAGCAACAACGTCACCTACTTGGACCCAAAAAAAAGAAATTTAAGGAGGAAAAGAAACTTAAAGGTGAGCATATTGGCCTGCCTTCCACATTTACTCATTCTTTGTTTCAGGATTTTGTATGGCTTCCTGATGCATTTGGACTTTGAACATAATCTGTGTAGAAATTTGCTTTATCTGAAATACACTAGTTTCCCCTGTCTAATTAGTTGTAAGTACTATTGACTTTATTTTGTATTTGATTTATGATCTTTTCTAGAATAATGAAGACATAAGAACTATGGATTCCTAGTTTATTCCAATTAGTTTATTCCTTTTTTCTTTTATACATTCTCCAAATGTTGAAAATGCTCTGGGAGTGGAAAAAGTTAGTTAATATGAAAAGTAACCTGAAGTCTTTGGAATAAGTTGTAATTGTTGCTATATGTAGTTATTTAAAACAGATTACCTCCTGATGATCTTATGTAGTATTTTTGCATGTTTGTCAGGAAATGTTCTTTCCTATCTTACTGAGCTCTCAGCAGCTGGAAATCAGGAAGGAAATAGGAAGGGGATGTTAAATTATCTGTACAGACAGATTTTATTCCTCTTGAAGGTATGAACTCCACTCAGAAAGATTCTTTTCAGCCTTTTTCCCTTCTTTCTCCCACATCCTCCTTGTTTATCTCTGTTTTCTCATTCTTCACACCCTCCCCCTCTAATTAGGTTTCTGTTCCTTGTATAATTTTGTCTTCACAAGTCTTAGCATCACATCAGTTAATGCATTTTTTCTTTCTCTATTATTTCTCTTTAGCTACCTTACATTGCTACCAAGTAGAAATGTTTTCTTCCTTTTGACCATTACCTGAGCCCATGATACTTCATAAACTTTCTTTCCTGTTGTTGGGTTCAAAAGAAAGTCAGTTTTTATGTTTTATTTTGTGTTTCTCTTTCATGTAAACAAAGGGAGTATCCAGTGTTCTTTTCCAAGGTAGTGAGATCTTCCTCTTGGAATATTCATGGCCTGAATAGATATACAGATAAACATTGCCAGCTTCCGGTAGAATGAGGAAAGAACCTTGAATTTTCTTAAAGTGATGAGGTTGTTTTGTTGCTGTCTCCTGGGGAAGGGAAGAAATGCAACCTCTGAAAGACTGCTTCTTTTGTAGCCAAGTTAAAAAAAGTAAAGAAAAAAAGGCGAAGGGATGAAGAACTTTCCTCTGAAGAATCCCCTCGTCGCCACCACCACCAGACCAAAGTCTTTGCCAAGTTCTCTCATGATGCACCTCCTCCTGGCATCAAGAAGAAGCACTTATCCATTGAACAGCTTAATGCTCGTCGCAGGAAAGTATGGCTCAGCATTGTGAAAAAGGAACTACCAAAGGTAAGTGAGTGCCTCCAGTGCAGGCGGTGGCGAGGATATTTGTTCTGCCTGCTCTTTAAAGAGGAGCTGTGAGAGCTAGATACCTTCACACTTCAGAAAGGAAACTAATTTGTTGAAATTGAAAGAATGCTGAGTAGTACTCTCTTCAGTTAACTGTTTTTCTAGAATTTGATCAGAATTCACAAGACAAACAATTGTGTGATGCTCCTTGGCCTTGAGGAAGACACATTAGTTTTATTACATATAGCAATAGAGATTGACAGCAAGTAGATAGGTGATAATAGAGGAAATTAAAATGGTGGAGATGTTTGTTAGAGAATTTATAAACATTTGGCTGTTACTGAATAATACAGGCATTAAAAGAAAATGTGAATGATTCAAGAGAAACATGTATAAGCATTCTTTTTAGTCTTTTAATAAGTGGTGCTGTAGAAGGTGGATGGGGGAAGTGGAGGAAAGTATATAGGGGGGATAGATGGTGATAGAAGGAGACTTGACTTGGGGTGGAGAACACACACTATAGTGTACAGATGATTATTATAGAATTGTGCACCTGAAACTTGTATAATTTTGCTAACAAATATCACCCCAATAGACTAAATAAAAAAGAAAAAAAATAAGTGGTGCTGGGACAATCGGGTAGCCACTTGGAAAAAAATAAAATTAGATCTGTGTCTCAACACATGTACTCCAAATGGATTAGGGATCTCAATTAATACAATGAAACCATCCAAATACTAGAAGAAAATGATTGCATTCCTATTTAACCTTTGTGTAGGAAAAGAGTTTCTAATTGTGACTCAGTATTCAGAAGCAATAAAAGAAAATATTGGTAAATTTGACTACATAGAATAAGTTTTTGCATGACAAAAGACAATGGGAAAACTGGTAGAGATTATTTACATTGTATACCATGGTCAAAGGGCAATTATTGCTAACAATGAATAGCTATTAAAATTTGAGGGACAAAATGCCATAAATTGATTAAACAAATGGGAAAATGACATGAATAGACAATTCACAAAGAAAGATATAGAAATAGCCTCACCCTGCCTGCTGTGGCTTAGTTGGTTGAGTGTCGTCCTACACAACAAGGTCATGGGTTTGATTCCTGGTCAGGGTACATGCCCAGGTTGCAGGCTCAATTCCCAGTAGGAGTGCATATGGGAAGCAACTAATTAATGTTTCTCTCTTTCTCTCTCTCTCTCTCTTTTTCTTTCTTCCTCCCTCTCTCTTCTTTCCTCTCTCTGAAAATCAGTAAAAACATTTTTAAAAAATGGCCCTCAAACATAGTAAAAATGTTCAATAAGTCTCTCATAATTGGAGTAATACAAATTAAAAAGGTGAGCCTTAAACATCTTTTGGTATCAGAAAATAGGGAAGTAATTGAAAAAAGATGGAGGAGCAGGGCGGGGGTGGGGGGGAGCTTGTCAGAAGAACATAGCAACCAACCTGAAGGAGGTGGCCATTGTTAGAGTAATTTGAACAACAAAATATATAGTAATAATTCTGAATTTTAACTCCTAGAATAAAGAAATATTTATGAATTCATACTGTTGTAAAAAAATGAATAAGCAAAAAGGTAAGGAAGAAGGAACAACTCTTCCTTACAATAGAATTTCAACAAATAAGTATAGAAGGAAGGAAATAGAGAACCATTACACAAACACTACAGTAATAATTGTTGCAGATTGGAACCATTGATGAATGCTAAAATTAGAGGGCAGCCTGGCCAGTGTCACTCAGTGGTGAGTGTTGACCTATGAACCAGGAAGTCACAGCTCCATTCCCGGCCAGGGCACATGCCCAGGTTGCGGGCTAGGTCCCCAGTAGGGGGCATGCAGGAGGCAGCTGATCAATGATTCTCTTTCATCATTATTGTTTCTATCTCTCCCTCTCCCTTTCTTTCTTTGAAATCAATAAAAATATATCTTAAAAAAATTTAGAGGGCAAAAGTTAGAGGAGAAACAACTTGCATAGATTCAAAGCACCTGCCTCGGCATACGTATTTTAGTACAAAGTGAAAGATAGTAACTATAGTGGTGAAAACTAGCAGAATGCACTTAACCAGCAGAATGATACAAGTAAACATCACTACTAATATAAATTTCGACATCGTGAACTCCTTGATGTGATGCACTGAGAATAACACATCATTTCTATGGAATTCTGTCAAAATGCATGTCATTTCAACCATGAGAAAACCACAAATTTTGGCATGTTTAAAAGAATAACTGATTGGTGTTTTTCAGAAGTGTCAAGTGAAAGAGAAAGATAGATATAAGAAATGTTACATACAGGAAGAGACTAAGGGGAAAAGCAACTAAATGCAATGTAGGATCCTATTTAGGATTCTGTAACAGTAAAAGAATATTAGTGAGGAAATAATTGACATTCAAATAAGACCTATGGTTTAGTTAATATTTTACCAGTGTTAAATTATTTTCTTATTAATTATACTATGGTTATATAAGATGCTAAAATTAGGAAAAGCAGGGGGAGGTATGTAAGGGAACTATGTTATTTTTTGCAAATTTTCTGTGTCTAAAATTCGTTCAAAACAGTTTTTAAAAATATATGGCAAGAATAATGCAAGAAACTGCCAAGTATCTTTTACTCATATTTAGCAATTGTTTGTCTCATTTGCTTTTTTACCTAAATGTATACTTTTAGCCATTTTAAAGGTTTGAGACTTTGTGCTAAACTTACTCCTAATAATTCAGTGTGAAATTCCTAAGAAAAAGGACATCTTGTCATATATAACCACAGTGCCATTATAAAAATGATCTGATCCACAGACCATAATTCAAATTTTATCAGTTGTCTCAATAATGTCCTCTACATGCTTTTTTTTCTTTACTGATTCAATCCAGGATCCAATCTAGAACTACATGTTGCATTTAGTTTTCATGTCTCTCATGTCCTTGAATCTGAAACAATTTTGCAGCCTTCATCTTTCATGACATTATTATTCTGAAGAGTATAGGCCAGGTATTTTGTAGAATGTTTCTGAATTTGGGTTCGTATGATGTTACCTCATGATTAGGTTTGGGTTTTACATTTTTGGCAGGATTACTAGGGAAGAAATGTGTCCTTTGTATATCACATCAGGAGGCACATGATACACCTGAATCAATATTGGTGTTATTAGCTTTGATCCCTTGGTATGGTTTTTCTGTCTAGAAATTTATAAGTATATCCACAGAGAGAGTTTACGTATGAGCATTCTTGATGGGAAAAGTTATGAGGAAACATGCTTTAGGTTCTGGTGATGAGGCTTCAGGTGATGTCTTTCCTATGATAAGGAATTCAGTGGAAATATTTGAGATTCTTGTCTTTAAAAACTGCTGAAGAATTAGTAGGAGAGTCCTAGCTGGTTTGGCTCAGTGGATAGAGCATCCACCTGCAGACTGAAGGATCCCAGGTTCGATTCCAGTCAAGGACCAAGTACCTTAGTTGCAAGCTCGATCCCTGGCTCTGGTCGGGGCACATGCGATCAATGTATCTCTCTCAGACACATTGATGTTTCTCTCTCTCTCCCCCTCCCTTCCACTCTCTCTAAAAAAATTAATGGAAAAATATCCTTGGGTGAGGATTAACAAAAGAAAAGAAAAGAAGAATCAGTAAGAGGAAATTTTGGTAAAATGCCTTAAAAACTCCTTAAGCAGACAGTCTGAGTTGGGTATATTATAGAAACAGCTTTCATGCCCTCTGTAACTTTGTTTTTGTTGTTGCTAATCCTCACCCGAGGGTATTTTTCCATTGATTTTTTTAGAGAGAGTGGAAGAGAGAGGGAAAGACAGAAATATCAATGTGAGAGAAACACATTGATTGGTTGTCTCCTGCATGTGCCCCGACCAGGGCTCAGGTCCAGGAGGACCCTGCAACTGAGGTATGTGCCCTTGACCGGAATCATGCCCTTGACCCGCAATCAAACCCAGGACCCTTCTGTCCACAGGCCAACTCTCTATCCACTGAGCCAAACCAGCTAGGGCCCCTCTATAATTTTCAATCCATTGTTTCTTCAGAATCAGGGAGAGCTTTTTAATAGTCAGAGAACCACACACCTCTGCCTCTTCTGTATCTTCTCCAATGACAAATGAGCCATCATGGGAAATTCGGTTTCTTTAAACTGAAGTGGAAGACATAATAAGCAGCTCGAGGTTGCTGAGTCATCATCTGTTAGGTCTGCCTCAGGATTTTTGTTGTTGTAGAAAATGATGTTTAAGTGGTGGCAGAAACTGAGTAATAGTGGCAGCAGGTTTGCCCTGGCTGGAGGTGGAGCTAGAATCACAAACTGGGGGGTAGTTTAGCTTTCTTCTAACAATTTCTGTACCTGAGTGCCATGGTATCTCAGCTTCTTTGCAGATCAGCCTAGGAACGCAGTGTTTTTTTAAATAAGGGTGATATTAGAGTTAGGATATGGTGTTACATTTTCCTAGTCCACTTCCAGCCTTCAGTATAACTTAAATTCTTTCCAAAAGTGTACAGAAGACTCTAAGGCAGTGATAGCACTAGCTTATTATTTTTAATGCTAATTTAGTAGGTTTATATGTGGTTCTTGAGTCAGTAATGTATTTGAATATGCTTCACTTGATGCTTTTCTTTTTGGTTACCTCCTGCACGCACCCCTACTGGGGCCACAGATTGAACTGCAACTGAGGTACATGCCCTTCACCAGAATTGAACCCGTGACCATTCAGTCTGACACTCTAACCCAGTGGTTCTCAACCTTCCTAATGCCGCGACCCTTTAATACAGTTCCTCATGTTGTGGTGACCCCCAACCATAAAATTATTTTTGTTGCTACTTCATAACTGTAATTTTACTACTGTTATGAATTGTAATGTAAATATCTGATATGCTATATGTGTTTTCCGATGGTCTCGACCCACAGGTTGAGAACAGCTGCAACCACTAAGCCAAACCGGCCAGGATGATGCTTTATTTTTAATCCTCAAGTTGAATAAAAGACAATGTCAGTACATAATATCTTCTCAAAAAGGAATCCTAAATGAAATAATTGTTTTTTAAATATTTTAGGCCAACAAGCAGAAAGCTTCAGCTCGTAACCTGTTTCTCACCAATAGCCGAAAGGTAAAATTGTAGCTTTCTATTTTCCATTTTATGTTTTGCTGGAATGTGCTCTTGTTCTTTGGATACATAATTGCTGTTCTTGTCTCTTGTGACCTATTGATAATGAATCTGATAGTACCTAAGAGAGTTTCTAAATGTTCTCAATCAATTTTATAAATAACATTGTTCTTCCTCACATTTCTGGTATTTGAACCTTTTTTGGTAAGATCTTAGCCTATTCTTAATTTCTTGGGCAGACCACAGAATCTTCTTGCATTCTGTCTCTTCATCTAAGAAATGATTATATTAATACCTTCCCTTCAAGGGGAGTAACCCAGCTTCCCTTGAGAGTTGTGAGGATTAGGTGAGGTAATGTTCCTCGTTGTATTTTCCTGAGCTAGTTAATCACTCATCCTGTTTCCTCATCTATGAAATGAGGATGATGATAATACCAACTTCATAGGGGTTTTGTGAAGAATAAGTTAGCTTAATGTATATTAAACTTAGATTGGTGCTTAGCATTTAATAAGCATTGATAGGTTTTATTATTATGTGTGATAACACTTTGTAACTTCCTAGCACATCTCAGATCATTATACTTTTCTTTTTAATTTTCTAAGGCATTTTATCTACAGATTTCTCATCCCTGATACTACCTCAAGGTCTAAAACTGGATCATAGTACAGTACAGGGATGTTAATCAGTTTGGGGGAGAAAGAAATGTGGCCGTAGGATAGTGGTTCTCAACCTTCCTAATGCCACGACCCTTTAATACAGTTCCTCATGTTGTGGTGACCCCCAACCATAAAATTATTTTTGTTGCTACTTCATAACTGTAATTTTGCCACTGTTATGAATCGTAATGTAAATATCTGATATGCCAGGATGTATTTAGGCGACCCCTGTGAAAGGGTCATTCAACCCCCATAGGGGTCGCGATCCACAGGTTGAGAACCGCTGCCGTAGGAGGACTGTGTGCACTGAATGGAATGAGGAATGCTGTGGTTTGGAGCCCAGGGAGCACTGGCGTTGGTGTTGGGTCCGCCATTGTGATAATGCTGTTATTTGCAGCTTGCCCACCAGTGCATGAAGGAGGTACGTCGAGCCGCCTTGCAGGCCCAGAAGAACTGTAAGGAGACCTTGCCTCGTGCCCGCCGCCTTACCAAGGAGATGCTTCTGTACTGGAAGAAGTACGAGAAGGTGGAGAAGGAACACCGCAAGCGGGCTGAAAAGGAAGCCTTGGAGCAACGGAAGTTGGATGAGGAAATGCGGGAGGTAGGACAGTAGCATAATATTTTGAAAATCCTAATTGCTGCAGCCATAGTAAGAGATTGTTTGCACTTCAGAATTTATAAATCTAATCAATGAAGTTGTGTAAAAATGTTTTAAGGATGTTTTGAGGATGGTGATTTTAGTCCAGAAAACTAATTATATTCTTATTCTTTCAATAAGGCCCTCTCCCTGGCCTTCACCTCTCCTTTATGCCAATTTCTTCTATTCTTTGCAGCCTATTTCTTCGTATATTTCTCGAGGACCAGAAAGAGAGAGAGAGAGAGAGAGAGAGAGAGAGAGAGAGAGAGAGAGAAGAAAAATGAACGAAAGTAAAAGGAATTAGCTTACAGCTTATCTTGGCTTGGTTCCAGGTGCTGGCTGCAGTTTTGATTTGTTAGAAGATCAGGGCTGTTTGCCAAATTTAGGGCCAGATAGGGAGAATGGACAACTAGCCCAGTTTTCTGAGACCCACCCCCTAACCTACTTTGCTGTTTTAAACTGCAGCTAGTACTCCTGCTAAGTCTGATGTAGGTTGAGTATATTTTTTAGGGAAGCAAGAGGGGAGAATAAGAGGACAAAGTTACTGTGTTCCCTTTGGGAAACCATTTGGGATGAACGGAAGGAAAGTTGAGGTCTGAGAAAGAAGGGATTCAAAGGATTGGATGTTTTCTTTCAGTATAGGTAGTATTCTTGCCAAGCAGAGCTGTGGAACCTGTCCTAAAATTTTGATCTTCCCTCCTTTATCATGCCTTTGAGAACGAATATGGATTTTGCCCAGTTCATTTAAGTCCCCTGGGTAACTTTTATCTTTGCTTGCAAGATGAACATACAGTATTGAATTAGTAAACATTTGATGCTATTGGAAATACTTACTGAGTTTAGAGGCATTTAAAAGTTAGTCACAGATCTTAAAGTTTATAAGCGACTTGGCTTATTATGATCTAGGTTTGTGAGACATTGTCCCAATTATAATTATGTTGATAGCTAACTGATGACAGTTTCATTTACAGTTATGTTGACTTGTATGTCTTTTTTTTAACTTTTGAAATAAAACTATTTTTGATGGATATTTATTGTTTCTTTTATTTACATTGTTTATTTAAACAGTAGTTGCCTTCTTTAAGGTGACATTACTCTTTCTTTAAAAAATATTTTTTATTGATTTCAGAGAGAGGAAGGGAGAAGAGATAGAAACATCAATGATGAGAGAGAATTATTGATCGGCTGCCTCCTGCACACCCCACATTGGGGATCGAGCCTCCAACCCTGGCATGTGCCCTTGACCAGAATCGAACCTGGGATCCTTCAGTTCACAGGCTGACGCTCTATCCACTGAGCAAAACCAGTTAGGGCCTGGACATTACTCTTTTTTGTTTTAGTTTTAGAAAGGTTTTCTTGACTATACTTTAGCTTTGGATCATGAGCATTTGTATCTGTTATGAAAAATAAGCTCAGTGTTTTCTCAAACTCTCAGATTTTCTTCTAATTTGAATCTGGCTCAAATGCTATAAAACCCTTAAAGAAAGAATAGTTTTATGTGGCTTACTTTGGGACTTGGGTCTTTCTTGGCCTTATTCCTTATATTATTGTTGTTTTTCTTTGGGGAAAGTAGATCTAAGGATAAGTCACATACAATTCGTAGGAATTTTATTATAAAATAGTTAATGAAAAATGACTTTAATTTTGTATTTATTGTGTGTGCTATATTTCATATTATTTGATCATTATGGTATTTGTTTGCTCATTTTACTGTTTATTTTGATGAATGACTTTATTTATTGACACAATGATTATTTTCCTTACCAGGTTATTTCAGAGGCACTTTGAATTAGCATTTTACATTTTTAAAAAAGTATATGTTTGTGAGCATGTATTTGGTTTATAACCATATTTTGGTTTATAACCATATTTTGTAACTATCATCACACGTAAACTATATGTTGTTTGGGGAGCATTTTCTTCCTTTGATTGGCTTATTTTTCTCAGATACTTTCTGCATTGACTTCAAGAATAATTTATAGCTCCTAGAATTTGCCTTTTGGTGATAGATAAAGAAGAGTTTCTGACATGTTTACATTTTTTAATATAATGAAGCTATACAAATGTCTTTACCACCCAGGTTATGAAATAAAATATGTAGCTTGAATTCAGTTGCTGTCTCAGTGCCACTATAAAAAAGTAATATAGTAAAGAAATAAGCGTTTTATTTTATGTATGTATTTATTTTTAAATATGTTTTTATTGATTTCAAAGAGAGGAAGAGAGAGGGAGAGAGAGATAGAAACACCGAGTGGCTGCCTTCTGCATGCCTCCCACGGGGGATTGAGCCCACAACCTGGGCATGTGACCTCCTGGTTCATGGGCCGATGCTCAACCAACTGAGCCACACTGGCTGGGCAGAAATAAACATTTTATTTATTTGTTTATTTATTTTTAAATATATTTTTATTGATTTCAGATAGGAAGGGAGAGGGAGAGAGAGAAACATCAACGATGAGAGAGAATCATTGATTGGCTGCCTCCTGCATGCCCCCTACTGGAGATCGAGACTGCAACCAGGCATGTGCCCTTGACTGGGATTGAACCCGGGACCCTTCAATCCACAGGCAGGCACTCTGTCCACTGAGCCAAACTGGCTAGGGCAGAAATAAACATTTTAGACAGAAGCCAAATGGAGAAAGATTTCATATTATAAAGGAGAGCAAAATATAGATTACTATTAGACTATAAATGAAGGTTATTATTTGTGTTTAGTACCAGGACTTGATTATTATAAAATTATTCATTAGCAGTTTTCACCTTTCTAATGATAAAGAATTTATAAAGGAATTACATTGCAAACTTTATATAAGTTTGGTGAATTTTGTTGACTACCTCTTGGTTTATGATTAATGGTGTGACTCTTTTCACTTCAATGTTTTTCCTGTTTAGGCCAAGAGGCAACAGCGAAAACTGAACTTCCTAATCACCCAGACAGAGTTATATGCCCATTTTATGAGTCGCAAACGAGACATGGGTCATGATGGGATCCAGGAAGAAATCCTAAGGAAACTGGAAGACAGTTCTACCCAGAGACAAATTGACATTGGTGGAGGGGTGGTAGTTAACATCACACAGGAGGATTATGGTGAGTCCCAAATCAGAAGTTATAGGAAGCCGATACCCTCCATTTTTTCATATGTAAGGTTATACACATGATTAATTCTTCTAAGTTTTGTCTTAACTGATACGTAATATTGATCAATAAAGGGGAATTTATTATACCAGCGTAGGAAAATGTGAGTGTTTATATAAAATAAAAATATAAAATTTTTATTTAAGAATTTGAAAAGGGAAGGGTCAGGTTATATGATCTTATAAGTTTGGGAATATTTTATATGTTCTTATACGTTAGTAGAAATAGAAGATATTAAATTGGAAGAATTCAGTGAACATGTCTCAGAAGAGAACATCATCTCTCACATAACAAGGTTGTTAGTGATGCAAGTCAGGCATGAGAAAGAGACTGTTCAGTTTTAGTATTTTTGTGAACACAGGTAGGGAGGCATAGGGATGGAGTTTGAGAGGAATTTTACAGAGAATAGTGATCAAAATCATGTTGAGCTAAGAGTGAAAGAGAAATGGGGATGCTTCAGAGTATCTTGGGGATTACACATGTCTGTATTCTTTTGGAATAATTTCACCTGGCATAAATATATCACAATTTTGAATCCTTGTTGTCTTATTTTACTGGCTTTGACATTGCTTCATGCAAGAAACCCAGAATTAGGAGATGAGCTCAATCTCCTGGCAATTAAAAAAAAAATCCTCACCTGAGGATATATATTTACTGATTTTAGAGAGAAAGAGGGGGGGAGAGAGAGAGAGAAAAAGAGAGAAACATCGATGTGAGAGAGAAAATCATCAATCGGTTGTCTTCAGCACACACCCCAACTGGAGATCAAACCCACAACCTAGGTATGTACCCTGACTGGGAATTGAACCTACAACCTTTTTGTGTACAGGACAACACTCCAACTAAATGAGTCACCCAGCCAGGGCTCCTGGTGATTTTTTTGTGCTGGCTTTGGTTATGGGACACCATATCAGCCCTCTGCCTCCATTGTAACTTCCTTACCTCTGTCAAATACTTAATTTGAGCCTTTATGCTCCCTCATCCTCTATGAACCTAGGGATAAGTAGAACGGGGGAGTCACAGATCCAAACATGTTGATGTACATTGCATCTTTGAATGAGATCAATTAATGAGGTAGATAATCTATAAGTTTTCCTTTTCAGATAGTAACCATTTCAAAGCCCAGGCCCTGAAGAATGCTGAAAATGCTTACCATATTCATCAAGCTCGGGTGAGTCTTAAAAATGAAAAGATAAACTATAATGGGCCCTGGAAATAACCTACAACCTTCTACTTGGGTGTTCTTCTTTTAGTCTTAATCGTATTTTCTATGAAAAACATTGGCAAATGTGAGTATCTGTAGGTGATTGAGGAAAGGTGGAAAATGAACCTTCATATGTTTAAGCTTCAGGAGTGTGTTGATTGAAGTTAGGAAGTTTGCCTATTTTTTGTTCTCTCAAGAAATCATGGGAAACACAGTAGGAAATGCATTAGAAAAGACCACATTTTTTGCTTGTTAAGCGAGGTATATTATGCCTTAAGAAAACTGATAAGTTAGTACCTTCATTCACTTCAGTAATAATTTGCTTATTCATGATACAGTGCTTTTTAATGAAGTAAGGAAGAAACTCCAGTTAGATTGAATTAAGTAAAGAAAACAGTTTAATAGACTGCCTAGGAACCTATATATAACTTCAGTAGGGTGGGTACAAGTCAAGGACAGACACAAACTCGACCTTCTTTCCATCAATCCCAACCAACCAAATTTTATATCAAAACTTTAATAAGACCATCTGGTGTGGTTCAGTGGTTGAGTGCCTACCTATGAACCAGGAGGTCACGGTTCAATTCCCAGCCAGGGCCCATGGCTTGATCCCCAGTAAGGGGCGTACAGGAGGCAGCCGATGAATGATTCTCATCATTGATGTTTCTATATCTCCCTTCCTCTCTAAAATCAATAAAAATATATTTTAAAAAAACTTTAATAAATTTCTAGACCCTGGTCAGGTAACTCAGTTGGTTGAAGTGTAGTTCTGTTATGCCACGTTTGGGTGTTCAATCTCTGGCCAGGGCACATACAGAGAAGCAACCAAAGAATGTATAAATACGTGGAACAACAGATGAACGTTTTTTTTCTCTCTTGCCCTTCCTCTCTCTCTAAAATCAATAAGTATAATTAAAAAATAAATATATATAAAAACTTCAATAAATTTCTTGATGAAGCAAGTCATCATATATAAGGCTTAGTGTCTGTCCATTAAGAGCATATTTTTAATATAATTGTTAAATTGTTTTGTTCCAATTAGCCCAAAAGAGATGTTACATTTTTCTTCTAATAAATTTTTATTTTCCAGACAAGGTCTTTTGATGAAGATGCAAAAGAAAGTCGAGCAGCTGCCCTACGGGCAGCAAACAAGTCTGGCAGTGGGTTTGGGGAGAGTTACAGCCTGGCAAATCCATCTATCCGGGCTGGTGAGGATATTCCACAGCCCACAATTTTTAATGGCAAATTAAAAGGTTATCAACTGAAAGGCATGAATTGGTTAGCAAATCTCTATGAACAGGTAAATTTTAGGATTATGCTGTACCCATTATCTTTCACTTGTTACCTGTTTTTCTAAAGTCATTGGTTCAATATATTGTGAAATAAGCACAAGATAATGTTTTAGATTTCATTCCTTTTAAAAAGCTTTATCCTTTGGCAAGAGTAAAAACGATGTCTCTATATTTTTAACCTGGAGATTTTATTGGAGAATATTTGTATTATATGTGTAGTTTGTCTTAGGTGGTCTTGATAAGTGGTTGCTTGCTTCTGTGCCTGGATTAGATTAGGTAAAAAACTGGCTTCATGATTCACAGTTGTAGCTGTAGAGTTGGCAAATGAATCATTACAGCAGTGGATAAAGTGCTGAAGCTTGGAATCTCTAGTCACATTTGTTTGAACAAGTTTAACATTTTGGTTAGTTCTTTTTGAACCCTGTATGATGGAATGTGAGAGGTGTTAACCATGTGTGTTTTTTTCCCCCAGGGTATTAATGGCATTCTTGCAGATGAAATGGGCCTTGGTAAAACAGTACAGAGCATTGCCCTCCTTGCCCATCTGGCTGAGGTGGGTAGATGCTTTCTATTTTTCTCTCTCTAGATCCTAGGGTCATTTTCTATTGAGAATCAGCCATTATCAAGCTCTATGTTAGGCTTTGTAGCATACCAAGACAGTAGCATTTGCTCCTTGCCTTCAAAGCCTTTACAGCGTAACATAATGTAGTGAAACATTTGATTTCCAAGAAGACTAGGACAGTTTTTGAGCATGTATGGTTTGGCAACCTCTCCCACCACCTCCACCCTCAGTTGAGAACCACCAGTGTGGTGGCAAAGACAATGTAAGGTTAGATCAGAGGATCTGAGTTCATATCTCAACTGTACACTTACTGGCAGTATAAACTTAGACAATTCATGCAACCTCTTTGACCTGACTTCACTTTAACTCTTTAAGGTTGTTTCCACTTCTGCAAACTTCTTCTTAAAAATTAAATGAGAAAATATGTGTAAAAGCATTTTGAAAAAAGAAAAAGCTTTAGATAATAGTAAAATTATATGATCATCTAGTACAGGGGAAAGCAACACATAAAGTCAGTATGTTCTAAGTGCTTTGTGAATGATATAACTTAGGACCGATAAGAGGTGGATGGAGAGGGCAGTAATTGCTTGCTATTTTTTCCTCAAGGTGTGTATGAGCAACTTCCTTCCTGGGTTATTATTAATATAGAATATTATTGAGTGTGCCAATATGTTGGAATAAACACCATTTCTCTTGTTACAATGTACTTTCTATTCTTAAACTGCTCTTGTAGTTAATTATAATTTTAAATTAAATATTTTCAGTTTTCCTGCAGTTTGCTAACCCAGTTTTTCTGTTTCAGAGAGAGAACATTTGGGGACCTTTCTTAATAATTTCACCTGCTTCTACGCTTAACAATTGGCATCAGGAGTTTACTAGATTTGTTCCTAAATTCAAGGTAAAATCATTCAACAAAAAATTATATTGCTCTTTAAAAATAAAATTTCTGACTCTCTTGCTGCCTCACTTATTAAAGTGCTCATAATAGTTTTTAATTTCTTACATTTTTGTCCCCAAAAATAACTTGCATACATTTCATATAAATGTTACAGTGGGAGCAGTAAATCTTTGTGCATCATAAATGAGAAAGCCAAAGTCCAGTTTGAGTGATTTGCTACATTGTTCACATGAATCAATGCTCTTGGTCAAACTACCATAATAGAAAATATCTACCTTGCTGGTTTAATGTAGATTTTTGGCTTATCATCATCAGGGCACATATCCTGTAATATATGGCATGGTCATCATTCCTCCCCCATCTATAATAATAAAAGTGTAATATGCTAATTAGACCGGACATCCTTCCAGACAAAGCCGCCATGGCGGTGGAGGCCGAGCCCCTTGCACGAATATTTTCTGTAGAGTTATTTGTCATGTGGGATATGGAGCTCCCCATCTTTTTTTGTGTTGCTTTTTAGAAAAGTCTCACTCAAGGATATGTTTATTGATTTGAGAGAGAGAAACATTGTGAGAGAGAAACATCAATGTGAGAGAGAAACATTGATCACTTGCCTCTCTCATGCACCCTGACTGGGGTTCAAACCTGCAACCCAGGTATATGCCCTGACCCAGAATCGAACCACAATGTTTTGGTGCACGGGTTGACACTCCAACCATCCAGGCCACCCAACCAGGGCCCATCTTTTTTTCCGCCTTTGTTGGTGGTGGTGGTGTTGCTCAGTACAAGATGAACAATCAGGAAGTTAGAAATTAAATCATAAAATTTTCCATCAAATTAAGTTTTCAGTATTTCCTTCATTGACCAATAGATGGCAATGAAGTTCTATTTATGTCTTTGTTACCTCTCCTTTGATTTTATACCTATACGTGAACTGAACTTTCATTTGCATGTTGAACTTTCTTTTGATGCTATAATTTACAGGTCAGTAAAATATGGCCTTTGGGCCAATCCCAATTTCCATTTGTTTGTCCCAATTTTTTATTTTTGTTTTTTGTTGTTGTTAATCCTCATTCAAGGATGTTTTTCCCCATTGATTTTTAGAGAGAGTAGAAGGCTGGGAGTGGAGGAGGGTAGGAAGAGAGAAAGAGAAAAAGGAAGAGGAAGAAAAAGAGAAAGAGAAAAAGAAAGAGAAAGAGAAGGAAACAGTTTAACAAAGACACATACATCAATTGGTGCCTCCCACAAACGCCCCAAGGAAGGATGGGTAGAATCGAACCAAAACCCTGTGGTGCACAGCCAATGCTCTAACCACTGTGCATAGCAGCCAGGGCTCTCCCAGTTTTTAAAAATTGTGATAAAGTACGCATAACATAATATGTACCAATTTAAAGTGTACAGTGAAGTAGCATTAAGTACATATACAATAAGGTGCAGTGGTCAGGTTGATATCAGGTTGCAGAATCTCCTTCATGGTGCCAAACAGAAACCGCTTCCCAGTTAAGTAGTGACTCCTTAATTCCCTTTTCATTCCCCTTTCCCTCTAGACCAGTGGTTCTCAACCTTGGCTGCACATTAGAATCACCTGGGAATCTTTTTAAAATCCTGATTTCTGGGCCTCATCCTC